CGGGTTTGAACGAGGAGCCAATGGGGCGTCGAGTAGCTCGGCCAATCGGGGCTAGGATTGAACCGGCTCCGCCCGGGAACCAATCAGAAGGGAGTTCTTTATTCCCGCGCTTGTATTTCCCGCGCTAGTATTCAACATAGTGGAGCGCGGTTTTGTCGTGCCACGGATTTGAGAAGAGTCTATAATAACAATGAGAAAATTGGATTGGCTGTGCTCTTCTGCCTTGTTTTGTGGTTCAAGTCAATAAAAAGGGGTGGAGGACAAAGAAGTAAGCCCAGAATTGCAGCACGTCTTCCACATTTGAAGAAAAAGGCTGGAGGAGAAACCGAAAATATTTTTTTTCTTGTGGCATCTTCACCCACAACCCATCATTATCATATTTTTTTATTATTGATTTCCGTATTTTGGAAAGGTACAACTAAGTAAAACCAGGAATTCTGGACCTCAGAATTCAAAAGATATCTTTGATGGCCTCCATATTCCAGCCATTCTAACTAAACAAAATCAGTATATGGTTATTATAGAACTCTTGATAAGAACGAACACCAGATGTTCTCTTGTGTTTTCAGAGAATGGATTTCTGATACCGTATACTGTCTATTTGAGGTTTTGCTTTTATTGCCAGAAACAATTTATAGCGAGCCTTTCATATTTATACTTCTATATTGTTGATCATTGCCATGTTCAGATGTACGCTCCCTTTTGTATCAGCTTGACAGGTTTTTGCGTGTATTTCACTCACATACATGCTATCATAAATTTGGTTTGCTGATTAATTCCATCAGATGCCCTCTCCTATATTTGTGTAGAATAGTGAAGCAGCTGTTCTCTGCCAATGTTTTCAAAAGCTTTTATGGTTTCATATGCCTCTATCATATTTCTAGCTAGTCTGGGTGGGTTTTTTATTTTTGTTTTTGTGGGGAGCTGAAGAGCTGTCATATTTTTAACATTTTGTGTCAAAATACTTCCATGGTACTTTATATCCGTTCTGCTTTTGTCTGTACTTTTAGCAGTCTCCTCAGTCCTTGTACAATGCAGCAATCAGAATGATTTAGAGGAGGGGGGACATAACTATTGTAAACTTCTTACTGTGAGGAAACATACCCTCAATTTAGATTTGTACCTGAACAGAGAAAGATAATCTGAAGATAGAAGGTGTTAAGTGGCTGAATTGTCATTTCTTTGTGAGATTCTTCTCTAATGGGTTTATGAATCAGTTAATATTAACTGCCTTGGAGACTTCTGAAATCTGGTGAATTCTTGGGGATTCCTTTGTGGAAATCCTGTTCTGGCATTGGTTGGAGAGATGAGATGAACTACTGACATGATCACTTCTTAGTGATCTCTCGCCAATCTGGCACCTTAGTACACAGTACAGTTATTCTCCCCTTCTAAGTTGTACACCGCAATTCAGGTCAGGTTTGTGCAATCCAGATGCATTCAATCCACATTGATCTCAAGCAACAACTCATTCAGTCAAAACTGGTATCATTATGCCCAAGGAGACTACAGGTAAAAAGTTTGAGGAAAAATGGGGTACTCTTAGTAGCTTCATTCCATAATTGACATAGCAGTGCTAATAGAAAAAATAAAAATATTATTAAAGGTATCCAAGCATTTTCAAACTAAGATTGAATAAACATCCCTCTCTCAACATAGGGGTAAGGATACGACATCATCTATTTCCAGTCTATAGCACGGTTCTTTTAACAGTTCAAAGAAGGCTCCATATTTGCACTACTCAGGTGTCCCTGATGACACAGATAAGCCTCCAGGTGGCCTCAAGGACTCTCTAAAAGCATACAAATGACCAATTGTCTGCAAGGAGTATAAATCCATCCATTCCCCATTATCCAGCTAGAAGAAGAAGCTTCTTAAATAAGAATCAAAACATCTTTAAGAAAAAACTAGAAAGTCCAGTTGCATCTTGGAAAAAAAGCACCTTTGGAACTAGGCTAGATTACTTATCCTCAAGACAGAAATCTTTTAAGAAATGAGAAAGAAATCTCATTTAGAAAACTTGCGTTGCTCAAATATAATCTCTTCTTCATTTTCCCTAGAGACACTAAGAAGAATCACCAAATGAGACAGCCAAACTGCCCTGAGGTTTCCCTGCTGCTTGCCAACTTTTTATTCTAGAGATAAAATCTTTTTTTTTTATTGCCTCTGAAACCAGTCACTCACCAAAATAAACTTTCAAGCAGGATATCCTATACCATTTCAGAATAATGGCTGTCCAATCTTTTTTTAAAAAAAGAAACCCAGTGATGGAACACCCACAACTTTTGAAGGCAAGCCATTCCACTGAGTAATTGTTCTAACTGTCAGGAAATTTTTCCTCCTTGATTAGTTTCCATCTATTGCTTCTTGTTCTGCTTTCAGATGCTTTGAAAAATAGTTTGACTCCCTCTTCTTTGTGGAAACCCCTTGGATATTGGAACACTGCTATTGTGTCATCCTCAGTCCTTCTGAAGTGAGTAAAGCACTATTTTTTTCATAGATTAGCACTGCTTCTTCTCTGATTGAGTGTATTTGTATGTGTGTGTGTGTGTGTGTGTGTGTGTGTGTGTGTATAATGTTGCAATTGTGCTGATAAATAAATAAAGGGAGACTAG